ATGGCGGTGGCAGCCATCTTGAATCTTGCTAAATCTAAAAGTTGATCAGTTGTACATTGATGTACATCCAACGATCACTTTGAGTTTTATTAAAATCCTTCCAGAGGTTGATGAAATATTTTGATAACAGGGTGGACACGTGGGTCAAAACATCACCCCCACACCCTCACTGGCAGACAATACCAACAGTCCTACCACAGCACGCTGGTTCTATCCACAAGGTGCTCTATCCTGATTCATGCTCAATAATCCGGGGAGAAAATCCATCAATGTTCAGTCAGGTCCTCTGGACGGGTTCTTTTTTTTTAATGTGCTGAGACGTTTCGCCCTCCATCCGAAGGGCTTCATCAGTCTGAGGAAACACCAAGCAAAACTGATTCTCCACCAACAACTTCCTCCAAAGTGGAAAAAAACAGTTATGTTGGTGCTAAGAAGGTGCTAAAAAAAACCTCAGCTCTCACATGGAAATTAAAAAAACAACACAAAATGAGTTTCAATGTGAGCAGCTGAAGCTCTTTTTTGTTCCTTTTTCAGAAGTTAGAGCCACAAAGGCTCATCTGTGGACCAGCTGGACCTCAGGACAACTAAGAGCAAACAATCATTAGATCCAGGTGATCTAAAGGCTACATAACGTGGTCAGAAGGTAAACACAGCAGCTGGACCCCTGAGCGCTTTATAAGTGCTGTAAAACATGGATTCTTTAAAACAAACATGGAGCGATGAATGGTTTGAGTTAGGCATATTATATTGATCACTATCAATCTTGGATTACAGGATGAGCTGCAGTAATCTGGGCCAGCTGCGACCCAGAGAGGCAGGCCTGATTACTGCACAAGGAATTACAATAATCAGGTCGGGAGGTGATAAAAGCATCGATCGTCTTTACAGGTAAACAACTCCATGAGTTTCATATTTGACAACACACAAAACAACAAGTACTAAATGTGTTTGCTACATTTTACTGAGGTTCTAAGTTACCACAACTAAACATGTTTACAGGTAGTTTCTTCTTTGCGTAAAAACTAGAATGGTTTAAGGCAACGGGTTTCCACGCAATTTTCTAGTAAAGTCAACTAGTTTGGGTTACGCTCTAGAGATCCCAGTGGTAGGTGAAAATCTGCAAAATTGTGGCGTTATATTTATTGTACCATACTTGTCGCCGTACACATCACATCACCGTATAAGTTGCATCAGTCCAAAAATGTCTAATAAAGTGGAAAAAAACATAAATATGTTCCTTTGCCGTATAAGTTGCATCTGTTATGCGTCACCACTGACAACCTGGAAACATGGGCCGGTGTTGTGCCAAAAATCGATTGGCTGTCAAATGGTGGCCACCGGAGCGTGCACTGTAGGACTTTAACAAGAATTTAACAAAATTAGCACTTAAAAACAATTATTTGTTTGCTTGAAATTATAGTAAAGGTATGTCTCAGTTGATAAGCTTTAATGGTCAAATCAGCTGCATTTCGCCGCGCCGCCCAGGCAAAATGCAGCTGATTTGACATTTGCTCCAGGAGTTCTGGAGCGAGACGAAGGTGTCTTGGTATGGCAAGCCAAGTGTCTCATTAATAGCCAACTTTACCTATTAATGAGCCACTTGGCTTGCCATACTAGTTGAGGGCTCTCTAGTGGCTGAAAATGGTAGTGTTCAATATCCTGATACATGCTCAGTAATCCAGGTAGAAAAATCCAAAAAAGTTCAATCTGGTCCTCTGGGCCAGAGGACCAGGTAGTGTTCAATATTGTCCAGGTCAGAATGAATGAATCATCAAACCTCAGCCAAAAACTGGGTTATAAATATGGGGGAACAACATAAATACATTGCTTTGCTGTGTAAGTAGCAGGCATGCTAATTTATGCAAAAAAAAAACTGTGACTTATACAGCAAAAATTACGGTATTATTTATATACTATAGGTTTAAGGCTTCACAAACCCGTCCCACAACCCTACAAACCTTTCCCACTCTCTTCTAAACACTTCATATACTCTTAAACACTTTGGCGATGAAGATGATGACGATGAGATGAATGTACAGTACACACAATATAAAAAACCGGGTTTAAAAAAATGCGCATCACAATAAAGTCACAATAAGTGAACCACAATATAGTGAGGGACGACTGCGTTGTCAGTTTGTTTTAGTTTAAAATCTAGTTTTATGTAAAAACCAACCCAGTGGTGGGCCGAACTGAGCTCACCCATGGGCCTGATTTGGCCCCCGGACCGCCAGTTGAATAGCCCTGTTTTAGGCTATACACATGATTGATGCAGACTATCAGCACAGACATAAAATGTTCGGACTAAACTGGAGGATGAGTGGGTGGGGTTGTCTTCGTCATACTTTATTTCACTTTGTGCTCTGTTTAAACTGAGCGAGCATGCTGTTGCGTGTACAAACATGGTAAGTTGATCCCTGGCAGCCACTTAGCAAAGTCCATGTTTAGGATGTAGTCCATTAGACTGAGACAAAAATGGACGCCCTTTATCTCCATAAGCCTCAAGTAAAACAACAAGGCGTTTCTTTTGTTGCCGAAATTAACTCAAATGCAGGACGTAGATCCAACGAAAAGTTACTAAAGATTTTTATTTTCAAATTTCTGGAGCATGTAGCGTCCCAATAGTGGTCAGAACAGTCACGGATATGCAGGTGAGGGTGGATCTTGTGGTTAAAGCACAATGTGGTTGAATGGGAAAGAAAAGACATGGAAAACCTGCGAGTCCTAAAACACACACGGAGAAGAATAAAACAGCAATAGAGGAAGATCGAGAATGCTTTGGAGAATTATTTTCTGGTCATGTGATGTATAACGCTCCACATTTGGACTGTAAATTAAATTAAACATTTGTGTTTTATTAAGAAATGTGCTGATGTTGACCCGTAGAGATGATGAATGCAGCATCAGTCAGCAGCAGTATAAGTTCCAGCAGCGTCACATCATATTTAGCCAACTTTGCTTAAAAATGATAGCTGCAGAACGAGTGCCTCTCATTCTGACAAACAGTAGTGTTTTACTTTGTTTCATTAACAATCATAAACGGTAAATGGACTGTACTTATATAGCACCTTGCACTTTACACTACAGTCTGTGTCCTCGTTTACCCATTCATACAGCACTCTACATCTACACAAAGACTAGCGGTAATCAGAGCTTTAGCTCACATTCATACACCGATGGGACACACATCAGAGGCTATGAGGGGTTCAGTGTCTTGCCCAAGGACACTTCAGCATGTGACTGCTGGTGGAGTCAAACCCCCAACACTCAGGAAGACAACTGCTCTAACCACTCAGTCACATATGCCCCCCCCCCCAACTTATAGAGGTATGAGTGAAAAAATACACTTTTTCAATTCTTTATATTTAAGGCTTCACAATGCTTTACGTTATAGCAAAGAATAGTTTTTGTTGTGTTTTTTTAAGAGCTCAATCAGAACCATCTCCACTGTCCCACTGCAAACGATCAACCCATCATCTACTTCCTGTTTGGAATCTTTAGGCCTAATTAAATCACTTTAACATCAGCTGGTAACTGCAGCACGGTGGCTCAGTTGGTAGAGCTGCTGCCTCTCAGCGAGAAGGTTGCAGGATCAAACCCCAGCTCAGGACCCTTCAGGGTGAAGTTTATATGTTCTCTCCGTGCATGTGTGGGTTTTCTCCAGGTACTCCAGTTTCCTCCCACAGACCAAAAACATGCATGTTCGACTGATTGGTAACTCTAAATTGTCTCTAGGTGTGAGTGAGAGAGTGAATGGTTGTTTGTCTCGTTTGTCTCTGAGTGTCCATGTGATGGACTGGAGACCTGTCCAGGGTTCCACCTTTCACACGGTGACTACTGGATATGGGCACCATGCCCCACGTAATCCATAAAGGAAGAAGTAAAGATAATGGATGGATGGCAACTGTTTGTTGAAGGAAATTGAGTTTACCTGCAACAATTCCTCATAATGTAACGCGACTTTTCTCTGGGGTCGCCACAGGTGCTGTTTCATCACCCAGTCTTTGTTAGCTTCCACCTGCACAGGAAGTTGATAACAAGGACAACACAGACCTGTTTGTGTTATAATATTTAACAGATGGGGTCCCTAATGTAATTTAAGAAATCCCTCTGCTCCAAAAAACAGGCCTCTTTATGCAACATCCCTCATTCAACTCAATCTGCCAGCCCTGTGTCAACCAAGTTAATTACAGACGCAGATCAGGCAAAAACTACCTGACATTGTACAGGAAAGGGCTCATTTACACTGATAATGTACATAAATCTCAGAAACAGGTACCAGCAAAACCAGTCAGGCTGAGTGCTGAGTCATGATGATCATGAGAAAACTGTGCTGGCTCGTGTTACAACAGATGTGAATTTTAGATGCTACAGAACTGCTTTAACAAAAACCATCAAAACCAGTGCCTCTATTTTCAACATTTGTGTACAGGCATCTGCTAATGTTGCACATGTGTCGCAAACTCGAGGATAAGTCTATATTTATCCGAAAACTACATAATTCTTAAACCGAATGCAGTTTCACATTGGTGAATTGTTGTAGTTTACAGCACAAACCCAGACTTGTGTAAGAAACGAGTCTGGGTTTGTGATGCTAGCAGTTTCTAGTCCACTTTACGTCCTCGGGAGTTTTGGGCGCCGTCTATTTGCTGGCACCGTTCCAAACCCTCCCACTTTTAGACTTGTCCTCGGGATTGTAGCGGTAGAATGCTATGTTTTCCCTCACAGATAAAGTGCAAAGGTGCGGTAATAATTCTCCAGAGACGTACATTTATGACGCTGTTGCGAGGAAGAACCAAGTGCAGCAACATATATATATATTTTTTAACTACTTTTATGAAGTTCAGGCTTAAGCTTGAGCATTTTATACCGGCTGCTTGTATTGCTGAATTTTGATTGGTCGAGAGTTGAAATAGGCGGGACTTAAAGTCCAGCTCCTAATTTCTCATTGGACGCGAGGACAGTCTGTTTGACGAGGGGCGGTAACTGCAAGTGCCGAAAGACGTAACGCTGGGACGCAGAGCTTCTGTGCTCACTGATAAGGGAACAGGCAGAGTTAAAGTCGGAATTAAACGGATTTAAATTCCCCTTCAAGGAGCTTGTTGTCAGAATTGTCGGTTAATAGGCGTTTTCTCATCCCGGCTGTTTCAGGTAAATATCTTGCGTGTTTCTCGTTTAGTTTTTGAACAAAACGTCTTCCGGTGTGTGCAGGAATGATTGTTATGGGGTCAGATGACTGCGCAGTATGCAACAGTCCTGGGGTCAGATCAGGCTGCACACACCACATCCTGATAATATTAATCATACATGTTTAGCTGTTTGTGATGCAGCATTGGAGCCTCCAGAAAACTAGGCCACAGGACTGGTTTACACTGTATTAAATTTCAAAGTCATTATTACATAAGTCCCCTTCTAATGCTTAATTTAACCTAATAGAAGAAATGAACTCTTACCCTAAATGTATGTTATACGTTTAGTATGTATGTGATGTTTTTGTTGTGGCTGTTGATGTTTCACTCGGCTGTAGATCCATAGCCATCTGATCAGGGGGTTTGTTTGATGGAAAACAAAATATCTGGTTATATGGATTAAAAAACTTCTGTAGGTTGTTTAATGCAGCTTGTTTTATGTGTATCTAGTCCAGTGACTGGTTAAACTAATGACCCTCACTAATGAGTAAAATCTAAACATACAGCAGCAAAACAGGAAGTGGAAATTGTTTCTAACCAGAAATGGCTCTTCCCGTAGGTTCAGAGTCCAGATGGCTTCACTGCAACGTCTGAGGCTGCGCCACCCTGCAGATATCATCGTCTCCCATCTTCACACCAGCAGCCGCGCCTCAGCCAAGCAGCATTACAAGATGCTGGTCCTTGGTGGAGGAAGTGGAGGTATCACCATGAGCGCACGGATGAAGAGGCTGGTTGGAGCTGAGAATGTGGCTGTTGTGGAGCCGTCGGAGGCAAGGAGACATCATCTTCATTTACTGCATCAGTGAGGAACATTGGCAAATGGGAGAAAGTTTTTCACTGTCAGTGTTTCTTGCAGGTGCACTACTATCAGCCAATTTGGACCCTGGTTGGTGCCGGCGCTAAATCCGTGACCACTTCAGCTCGTCCCACCGCCAGCGTTATGCCGTCGGGTGTGAAATGGGTCAAATCAAAGGTTCAGGAAATAAACCCAGACAAAAACACTGTCCTTACCGACGATGGAACGGAGGTAGGTGAATTATCAAATTGTGTAATTATTGTTATTAATTTTTATTATTATTGGTAGTAGTTGACAGTCGCCCCTAACAGCTACTGCAATCACTAACGGATTGTGCAGGATCTTTTATTAAAACTTTGCCATTTAATACTGACATCAACTTTTATCTATTGGCAAGTATATCATAAACCACTGGATAGGATTTATTGAAACTTTCATTAAAAGTTTTTTCCACTTTACAGATCTCTTATGAATATTTGATTGTGGCACTTGGTTTACAACTTCATTATGAGAGAGTAAGTTCATGCTTTATATTTATTTATTTTTATGGTAAATGCACTCATTTTATCTAAATGTAGGTACAAACTGGATTCCAAAAAAGTTGGGACACTAAACAAATTGTGAATAAAAACTGAATGCAATGATGTGGAGATGGCAAATGTCAATATTTTATTCGTAATATAACATAGATGACCGATCAAAAGTTTAATCTGAGTAAATGTAACATTTTAAAGGAAAAATATGTTGATTCAAAATTTCACAGTGTCAACAAATCCCAAAAAAGTTGGGACAAGTAGCGATAAGTGGCTGGAAAAAGGAAATTGAGCATATAACGAACAGCTGGAAGACCAATTAACACTAATTAGGTCAATTGACAACATGATTGGGTATAAAAAGTGCTTCTCAGAGTGTCAGTGTCTCTCAGAAGCCAAGATGGTAAGAGGATCACCAATTCCACCATTGTTGCGCAGAAAGATAGTGCAGCAATACCAGAATGGTGTTACCCAGCGTAAAATAGCAAAGACTTTTAAGTTATCATCATCAACCGTGCATAACATCATGAAAAGATTCAGAGAATCTGGAACAATCGCTGTGCGTAAGGGTCAAGGCCGTAAAACTCTACTGGATGCTCGTGATCTCCGGGCCCTTAAACGCCACTGCACCTCAAACAGGAATGCCACTGTCAAGGAAATAACAGAATGGGCTCAGGAATACTTCCAGAAAGCATTGTCAGTGAACACAATCCACCGTGCCATCCGTCGTTGCCAGCTGAAACTCTACAGTGCAAAGAGGAAGCCATTTCTAAGCAAGCTCCACAAGCTCAGACATTTGCACTGGGCCAGGGGTCATTTAAAATGGACTGTGGCAAAATGGAAGACTGTTCTGTGGTCAGATGAGTCACGATTTGAAGTTCTTTATGGAACACTGGGACGCCATGTCATCCGGACCAGAGAGGACAAGGATAGCCCAAGTTGTTATCAACGCTCCGTTCAGAAGTCTGCATCACTGATGGTATGGGGTTGCATGAGCGCTTGTGGCATGGGCAGCTTGCATGTCTGGAAAGGCACCATTAATGCAGAGAACTATGTTCAGGTTCTAGAACAACATATGCTCCCATCTAGACGTCATCTCTTTCAGGGAAGACCCTGCATTTTTCAACACGATAATGCCAGACCACATTCTGCAGCAATCACAACATCATGGCTACGTATGAGAAGGATCCGGGTACTGAAATGGCCAGCCTGCAGTCCAGATCTTTCACCTATAGAGAACATTTGGCGCATCATAAAGAGGAAGGTGCGACAAAGAAGGCCCAAGACGATTGAACAGTTAGAGGCCTGTATTAGACATGAATGGGAGAGCATTCCTATTTCTAAACTTGAGAAACTGGTCTCCTCTGTCCCCAGACGTCTGTTGAGTGTTGTAAGAAGAAGGGGGGATACCACACAGTGGTAAAAATGGACTTGTCCCAACTTTTTTGGGATTTGTTGACGCCATGAAATTTGGAAACGACAGATGTTTCCCTTAAAATGATACATTCTCTCAGTTTAAACTTTTGATCTGTGATTTGTGTTCTATTCTGAATAAAATATTAGATGTTGGCACCTCCACATCATTGCATTCAGTTTTTATTCACAATTTGTTTAGTGTCCCAACTTTTTTGGAATCCGGTTTGTACATTTTGAGAGATGTGTTTCTCTTCACGTAGATTAAAGGGCTGCCTGAGGCTTTTGAGCATCCAAAGATCGGATCGAACTACTCTGTCCAAACTGTGGAGAAAACCTGGAAGGCTCTGCAAAACTTCAAAGAGGGCAACGCTGTGTTCACATTCCCAAATACTCCTGTGAAATGTGCTGGAGCGCCACAAAAGATCATGTACTTATCAGATGCTTATCTCAGAAAGGTATTTATTCTTTGGAACCAAATTGTTACGCAGTATAAAAAGTCGTGTGGTATTCCAACTTTCTCAAGGGTGTCCACGTTTGTGCCGTAGACCGGGAAAAGAGCAAAGGCCAATGTGATATACAACACATCACTACCTGTGCTGTTTGGGATCAAGAAATATGCTGATGCTCTGTGGGACATTGTGAAAGCTCGTGATCTACAAGTGAACCTTCGCCAGAACCTGATCGAGGTGCGGCCAGACAAGCAAGAGGCCGTGTTTGAGAACCTTGACAAACCAGGCGAGACCAAAGTGATTGAGGTAAAAGTCTTCCTGCGGCGGTGACTTTCACTTTCAGTGTGCTGTTGACTGGTTTGTTCAATGCTCTGAAACACCCCGTGGTTCTTTTGATGTGATATTATCATGATGTACTTTTTCCCATTAGTATGAGATGCTCCATGTTACACCACCGATGGGGCCCAGTTTGGTGATTAAAGGAGGTCCGCTGGCCGACGACATCGGCTGGTTGGACCTCAACAAAGACACCCTTCAGCATAACAGATATCCAAATGTGTTTGGGATTGGAGACTGCACGAGCCTTCCCACGGCCAAAACCGGCGCCGCCGTCGGTAAGTGACTGCTGCGTTTAACAAAGCTGAAAAATAAGTGCTGCATCGTTGCAGTGAGAAACGTTGGTTATGTAACGATAAGTCATGTCCTCTGGACGTATTCTTCTTTGTTGAAACGTTTCGTCAAGCCCTAACAATTGGTTGTTAATGCCCTGATGGCCGCTTGCTATAAACTGGAGGCTGAGTGATACGAGCAATAACGGTGTTGTAAGAGGGGGACAGTTGAACACGGAGGCCTCAGTTATTGCAAGTATCACTCAGCCCTCTGAATAGCAAGTGACCATTAGGGCTCTAACAATCAATTGTTAGGCTGATGGTCCTCTCCTTTACATGTGAACAACTAGTTTTGTCTGTTACCTGCAAACTGGTTGATCCACTTTGACATGGTGCTGCTAATAAGACTGAGTTTGTTGCAGCAACTCTGACTGAAGAAGTATTTTGGATTAAAGACTAAACGTTTCAACAAAGAAGAATCCGTCCAGAGGACCTGGATGATTGAGCATGCATCGGGGCATTGGTTATGAATCTTTAAAACTACTTTGCACAACCACCAGTGTACTTCGCACAGTAAAAACACAAACCACTCTTGAATGGAGTTGGCAGCAGAAGAGCAATTTGACATGATCTGACGGGCTCCGTCCTTGCACCGGTTATCTTTATCTGTGAGTGACTCTGTGATTACGTTTGACTCTGTATGGCTCATTCACATTTCCCATGGCAGTGCCATTTTCTGTGAACTGTTACCGGTTAAGAAACTCCAGTCTCCCATCCTAACCCCGCCATGTTCTCTAGATTATTATAATCATTTGTTCACATTTTAAGTTTTTTCATGAAAACAGAAAAAAGCCTAGTGTTCTGCTACCTTCCATACCAGGTATCGTCACGCTCGGAGCACGTGTTGTGATTCTCAGCTATCGTATCAATTTTTAGCACCAGATCTGTTAAACGGGCTGAGCTGAAGCCATTTTTGAGTGCTCTAATGTCCGTAAGCTGTGGTGTCCAGCTAGAATTAGTTCGTTCAGAAAGTTCTTTCACCGTTTGGCAGTAGGCAACAATTGCAAGCCTAATTTTAGAGATTTTTTAAGGTTCCTCATTTAACAGTTTGATTTCTGCAGAAAGTCTCCGTAAGGATTGGTGACCTCTGACCTGTACTAAGACTGTTCATCCTGTTTGCAAATGTGTGAAAGAAAAGAGTCTGGAGTCGTCGGCCGTCGGAACAATCAGTTTGGACAAGCAGGAGCATCTGAACATTTTGAAAGACAGAAAAGTTGTCTAACAATATATCTCCTTTAGGAAAGCCTCATCATAAATGCACTCTTCAGTTTTCATTTGTTGCATTCGTCACATGATGGAAACGCACGCTTTTGGCTGGTCGTAGATTGTAACGCTGCTGGGTCTGTCTGGTCCAAACGGTTTACATTCATTCACGGTGAAGCGTTTCTGGAATGCTGTGTATGTGTGGAAACGGCTTGTACTGAGCCCGAAACAGCTTCGCTTTTTGCTGAGTCATTGTTGAGCTGAAAGTTAACATGTCCCTCGTTACCTCACAGTGGAAAGATTTATTAACCTTCTAAAACACGGGAGTATTTCTATTTTTGGGCTTTTTTTTATCAGCTGTGAGGTGTAACACCAAACTAATCTGCACAAGAGGAGGTGTGTGAGTCCGTCATCCTGCTGGAAAATCTGTCAGAACACGCAAACACAGGAAACAGTCTAGGAACAAGGCGGGGTGGTGTGACGAGATACCGTGCGAATCCTGATTCATCGTTCACACTTTTCATACATTCTTTGAAATTTAACAACTTCTGCATCCTTTGATGTATTTTTAGCTGTTCAAATACCAAAAGGTTCTTAGTTCTAGAGGTGGTAATATGACTTTTTAAAGTATTTTATTTACATTTTATTTCAGTTCTTTCAGAAACGTCCCTTTTGAAATCTGCTCCAGTTTTATCTTTCTACGTTACTTTTACTTTAAATACCATTCAGCTGAATTTTGCTAGTCTTTTGATGATTTTAGCTTGCATTAAATCAAATTATTTTAGCTACTATTCAGTTATTTTATCTTTTATCTTCTCTACTTTTATCTTTTAGCTAGTCTTTTGACATTTTTATCTTTATCACCGTACTTGGTCCTATCCCATTAATGCTTCAGGTTTTTAGTTGGCCTCTTGCTACTTCTAGCTTTTTGCTAATAGTTTGCTGGTTAGCCTTTTGCTATTTTTTTTTTTTTATTTATTTTCCTAACCTTTTGACTAGGGCTGGGCGATATGGACCAAAATGAATATCTCGATATTTCAGTCAGTTTCTTTATTTGTCATTCGCACCACATGTGGTGGAATGAAATTGTGTACACAGGGTCCCACTTGCATCCAACAATAAAATGTAAAAAGAAAAACGGTAATAAGATCTAAGATCTAAACTAAGAAAAACGTTAACTAAAAATACGCTAAGAACTAATAAAAACAATATGCCGAACAGCAGCACGAACATGAGTCTGTGTGAGCAGATTTTTAAGATGAATTTAAGATATACAATATATATTTCAATATTTTTTTCTTTCCATAAAGTAATAAAAATATATTTCTGAGTCAAAGCTTTGTCCCAGTTGTCACACAGGCACATATAGTAAACAGCTTTAACTGTACAAAATAAATGTCTAAAAAAATCAAGTATTTACATATATTAAATAGTAAAAATTTTTAGACCTTTATTCACATATATTAAATAATAATCCACTTCAGCTGCGCTGCCTTCACAACATTAAGCGTGTGTGAAGCTGCAGGTCCGACAGACTTCAGCCTCCTTCCCTGAAACAAACCACGGTATGAAACTCATTTAGCCGTGCTGTGCCTTATGAGAGGAACAGTGAGGTGTTGCAACATTAATAAATCAACAGCTTGTATATCGCTAAAGACACGGTCCCAGTCTCAACTGTGGAACAAGACGGCTAAAGCGTTAGCCATCTTGTTAAGACGCTAAAGACTTGTTGAGCTAAACGTCTCCCGCCCACCTCCTGGAGAAACAGGAAGTGGGGAGAGCGCAGCGGAGAAGGAGGGGGGCCGCGTGGGAGAAAGAAGACAGCAGGAGGATTTTCAAGTATAGCACAATATATTATTTATAGCGATCTAGTCTCAACTTGTATCGCAAAAAAAAAATTATCTCGATATTTTTTAAATCTTGAGATATCGCCCAGCTCTACTTTTGACTCTTTCAGCTTTTACCTAGCCTCTTAATTCTTTTGGCTAACCTTTTGATACTTAAGTTTTTTCATTTATCCTTTTGTTAATTTCATCTCTTGCTACTTTTTTTTATTTTGATGATTTTTGCCTAGCATTTGGCCACTTTTAGTCAGATTGACATTTGTAGCTTTTACAAGTTTGACAATTTTAACGATCATGTCAATATTTTTACCTCTTTAGTTTTGCTTTTGTTAATGTAGCTTTTAGTGGCTACTTAATTTTTTTAAATAAAATTATTTGCTGCTTTTGGTTTTTACAACTCAGATTCAGCATTTACAGTATTTATTTATTTTTTGCAGAAATTGTTTTTTTTTCTTGTTCTACTGGATATTGTGTCAATACTGATGGACATGCTGCTTTTTTTTTAATGGAGGCTTTATCTCTGAGGCTGGGGCACAAGTATGGTTTCAGTTTCTGGTGAGAGTAGATGAACGAGCTGGTCTTATTGTCAGTGTTGCGTCATAGAGCTAAATTAATAAATTGGGCTTGAAACAACAATTTTAAAATGAATTTCTCCAGAGCAAAATGAATCAGATGCACAAAGATTTAGAGATTTCGATCTGTGCTTGATTAGATGTCCAAGTGCGATCTCAGAACGTCCACGTTCTAAAGGAGGAATCGCAGCGCAAGACGAGTTTTAGAGAAAACTTTCTGACGGATGTCTTTTAGTCGGAGGTCATGAAGGGGTCCCTTTATGCTGCACATAACATATAGGATTGAATCCCTACTCTTGGTGACCTCTCAGTATTTGGTTGAATCTGACCCTCTCTCCTGCCACAGCTGGTGCAGGTGTTGCATCACCGCCCACTGATGGTTTTGGCAGCTGATGAGCTGCACTTGGTGTTGCACAGATATTGTTTGTAACTTTTTGTTGAAATAGTTTAGGTTTTTTTCTGCTTGACTCTTTAGAAAACCTCGTGCTCTCAGCATCCCCCTTTAAAAAAAAAAAAGTGTAATGAACACACCAGGCTGTGACGTGTTTTACTCGTTTGCCTTCATTCTGTTGTTAAAAGCATAAACTCTTCACTGGTGGAGCACAGCTGAGGCTCGGTTTCAGGAATTGTTGCCCACGATTTCTTCTGTTTCAGTTCTGTAGGTCACCGGGATTTAGCAGTCAAATGCAAACGGCGTGGTAACGATCATAACCAGGCTTTGTCTTAATAGATTTTTAAAGCTCTATCAGGCAACCCAAGTACTGAAACAGTACAGACACTGGTGTGTGCCTTTTAGTATTTCAGGTGATTTTTAAATTTGCAAACACTGCTAAAAACTTTTTATTGTGGCTTATCGAGTTGTCATTTAAGAAAACGCAACAGGAAAAGGTGCATAAATGTGTTTATATTTTTAATCCTGTATTCAAATCTGGTGTAATGACTGCCAGGACTCGAACACAAAGTGGATGAGTGAGTATCCTGAGAATACTGCCGGCTCAAGGTGTTGCAGAGGGTGTTGTTTCCAGCGTCAACAGAGTTGCTGTTTTCAGCCCACAGGGAGCTGCAGAGGTGACTGTCTTATGAAAATCATCTGGAGGATGTGGGCAGGTTTTACAAAATGATGCTATTGTAGCTGTGGGTTTGTGTGTCAGCAAGTCTTTAATGTTGGGGTCATTTATATGATAAAAATCTACAAATTATTTCACATTATTATTATTATTTGACTGTAGACTTGTTAGCAGCATGATCTGCTGCGAGCCTAATTTAGAGCAGAGTGCTGCAGGTAGCACTGGCTTCTGATTGGTTGAAAGATTTTTAACGAGCTGCCCGTGTTGGGTGTTAAATTTAGCCGAAGCTGTTGTTGGAGAGCACGTCGCTGTTGGATCTTTCTTGTTCACTTTAAAGCACGTTTTCTGCAGATGTGATGCTTAAATCTCGTTCATTTCAAATCTTTTAAGTTTTGTTTGTGTCACATTGACTACAGTTCATTTACATGGAAACTTTGTAAACACTTTATCTGGGACACATTAGTTACATGGCTGGGCTATTGGCAAATGAGGTATTATGGAATCATATTATTGTGTGTCTGTTAGCACAATATCTCATAAACCAGTTGATAGATTTTTATGAAACTAGGCAAGTACTGGTAAACATTAGATACAAATAGGGTCTCCGTGCCTTAGTGTAAAAATTTGTTTTTCTCTGCAAAAAGAAGCTGAGAACTTGTTTACTGATTAATTTTTTTATTATTATAAAAGCTTTGTGTGAAAAATGCTAAAGAGATCAAACCACACCGAACGTCCGCCATTTTCAGAACCGGGAAAAAAGGAAGTGGAGACAGCCCATGTCATGTCAAGTGGCCTCCCTCCCATTTTTCTTAGAGACATGCTGCTCGCTCCCTCACTATCCATCCTTCGGTTCAAACAGCCTTATACTGCCATTCAGTGGTCAAAAAAGGTACTACATGAAAAATAAAAAAATAAGCAACATTTCTTCTTAAATTTGACAATAATTACTAATTATTGTCAAATTTCAAACAATATTATCGTTTATCGCAATAATTTCTGAGACAATTGTCCCAGTAAAATGTGTTATCGTGACAGGCCTAATACCAACTGTACGCTCAGACTCCAGGTGTGATCGTCAGTATTTGTGTCTCGATGCCGGCGTAATGATGAGCGCGTTTGTTTTCCTCAGAGTCGTGACGGGCCAACCTGAACATCCTCGCGGTTAATTTCAGTAACAGAATGTGAATCTGTTGAATTAAACTACTCCTCTGTCTCTCTCTCTTCTTATTTTTTAGCTGCACAGTCGGCAGTCCTGCACAGAACGATCAGCAAGATACTGAAAAACCAGAAGCCTGATAAGAAGGTAGTTGCGCAACAAATGTTAACGTTCCATCTTTCATAAATACACATACGTTGTGTTTTTGTTCGTAGTACGACGGGTACACCTCCTGTCCGCTGGTCACGAGCTACAACACGGTCATCCTGGCAGAATTTGACTACAACGGACAACCGCTGGAAACTTTCCCCATCAACCAGGCCAAAGAGAGAAGATTAATGTACTACATGAAGGCTGACGTGATGCCCCAGCTCTACTGGCACGGGCTTCTCCGGTACGTATACAGTTCAAATACTTGATTTGTATTTTCATATCTGCCGCTACAGTAATCTTGTTCATCAGGGGCCTGTGGGGCGGTCCGGGGCCGTACAGGAAGATCTTTCACCTTGGGATGAAGTAAAACCGTCCCGTCAGCTTGTACGTCGAGATTTTCCTGAAACTACTGGATGGACCTCGTCCATGTGATGGCTGAAAGAACGGACGCTCACATGTGATTCTGTGATCTTTGTCATAATACAGGGTAAAAGAGACAAAAATATCTGTCTAAAACAGGTGTGTGAAAGATGCTGAAATAAAAATAATGAGTAGTCTCTACGTGCTAACAGGTGAATCTTCTGGATTGTTTTCTTTTATTTTGGACGGCTCATTAAATGGGAAGTAACAAGTGGTTTGTTTTCACTAACAGGTTAAAATGAAGCTGGAAATATGCATGAAACTCGTTTAGTTTCTCATTACTGGGTACAAAATGCACATTTTTATGGTTCAGATGTGAACTGACACTTTAGTTCATAACCGCCATGCATTGAATTTGTAAATTATTGAGGATTTGCACATTTTTTTCTTTGTGTTGCAAAATCACGCCAGTTGTTGCTACAAGATACTGTCAGGATCCCCAACTCCATCTTTTAATGTTTAATGTATCAAAGAAGTGTGAATGTCCAAAGGATTTAACTTTGTTTGTGCAGTCGGCAATTGTGAGTCTATTTTTATCTGACAGTGATTCGTGCAACTAAATATTCTGTAAGAGTTGATTTTTGGAGTTTCTTAACCACGAACATGCAAAAACTACCACAAGTGCTTTATTTTACATTCATGCATCAGTGTCCATCATGTTTTCTACACCGATTAATTTTTTCTTCAGACACAACTGTTGTTATAACATCTCAAGGACTCTGAAGAGAGCGCTGAATTCATTGTAAATAAAATATCTTTTACAATTAAATCAATAAAAATACGTTCTACAAAGCTTTTGTTGCCTTTTTCTACAGGTACATGTAAGATGGTATGTACAACTGCAGTTCAAAATAAATGTGGTGCTTCTCATTCTATTATTTTACATCATGGATTATTATAGTCGTCAAAAGGCAAAGACGGCAGACCAACACCTTCTGATGTGGACTGTTGATGGACAAACACTTCTCGTGTTAGAAATGACCTTCGAGCGAGACACTTGATGTCCTGATGTGAACGTGTACCTCTAGGAGGCTAAACTTCTACTTGAATTATCAGAGTGTTGGTGTTGATTCAGTTTCCAGGATGTTGAAAAGACATAAATTTTGGACAGTCCAGTTCAGACCTGTTGGTGCAGTTGGTAGAGATGAGAACTTTATTGATCCTGCAGGAAGTGGTAGAGCTGCCTGTTCAAATCCCAGCCAGGAGCCTTTCTGTGTGGAGTTTGCATGTTCTCTCCATGTGGGTTTTCTCCAGTTTCCTCCCACAGACCAACAACATGCATGTTGGACTGATTGGTAACTCTAAATTGTCCCTAGGTGTGAGTGAGAGTGAATAGCTGTCTCGATGTGTCCCTGTGATGGACTGGAGGCCTGTCCAGGGTGTCCCCCCTGCTTCTCACAGTGACTGCTGGATATGGGCACCAGTGACCCCCACCACCCCAAAAAAAGAAAGAAGTGTATGGATGGACAGTTCAGACCTTTAGACTTCACATTTATCCTTTTCACTTTATTGCTACTTGGCACTAATGGTACATCGTGCAGATCTTTATCTCTGATTAATCTTTAATTTCTAGTCTGAGTTTTCAAACTAGTTTTCCTTGTATGGTGATACTTTGAGTTAGCTTTGTTTTAAATGACTACGCGTGAAAACACTACAGTACGTTGTTGTACGAACAAATGTCTTTTTTAGTGTTACTTGTCTCGTTGAATGAATGAAGGCAGACCAATCCGTAACCATTATTAAACCAGGCAAATATTTCTTCATTAAACAGTTAAATGCTCAACGTTATTTGGAGGAATGCATATCACCTGCTGCCTTTCATATAAAACCTTTAGACTAGGATCATCTTCATGTTGAGAAGGTGCAGAGTTGTAGCAGGTTTGGTCAAACGTCGTAGACGTTATGAACATGACAAACATTGCGAGCACTTTCACGAACTGTTAGCACGTCGAGTGTAGCCACATTAGTGTTAAAGTCGATTAGCTGTTGCAGCCATCTTGAATGGGTAACTTTAATCAGCTGTACATGTAAATACATCCAACGGGCTTTTCTGATACTTTCATAAAAATCTGTTCAATGTTTCATGAGATTTTTTGTTACCCATTGGGGTTAAGCAAAGACCCCAACTATCTGTAACACTGACAGAGTTAAAGCCCTTTTATGTTAACCACATTTATTTAGATGTGGCAGCCATCTTGAACTTAGCTGACTTAAGAAGTTGATCAATTCTAAATGTACATCCAATAATTCCTCTGTGATAGCTTCAGTAAAATCTGTCCAGTGGTTCGTGGATTAGTTTGCTAACAGTAATCAATAGTTAACACCAAAGTTTTAGGCAAAATATTGAATGTACGTGTTGGGGATGACTCTCAACTACTACCACACCAAGTTTTAGCCCATCTATAAAATCAGCTGTTACAACCATTTTGCTCTGGTTAAGGTAGATCAGATGTATCTGGAATTGGAACGACTCCAAAGGTTAGTCAGATGTCGATGTACAGTCAGTGGCTACTTACAAGTTTCAATAAAGTCCATCCAATGGGTCATGAGATGTTTTGCTAAAAGACAGGCACAATTGAGCATAATAGTAACTGCGAAGTTTTAAAACCAGAACTCGAGTGAATAGTTAGAGCTTGTTGAGGATTCTCAGCCAAAATTTAAACTATCACAATTGCACAGTGCGTATAGTTCAAACAATTCATTTTTACACTGAGATGACATTTTTTTTGTTATTTTTAACATATGATTTTTATATAATCAAGACTAAATCATTTAACAAATCGAACAAACCTCGGTGTTCATTTTTAATTTCTTCTAGCTATTAAGGTTTAATAGAACCTGATAAACATTAAAACAATCATTGGTTTTTGTTTGAACAATTTTGAGTTAAAAATATGAATATATATTTTATTTAAAACCGAATATAAAATTTGAAATCTTCCCCACTAATTAAAAACAACTGGCCTAAAACCAATGTCCTCAACGGGTCTTAGGAGGATTTAGCATTTTTATATACGTCCATATAAATACAAGGGGGGAGTGGTGGTGCAGAGGCTAGAGAAGGCGAGCTTGTGACTGGAAGGTGGTTGGTCGCCTCATTTGTTCCACTTAACCTCTGCCATGTGCTCCCCTGGGCGCACTAGACGGCAGCTCTCTGCTCCACACAGAGGGCTGTGGTAGCTCGGTGGTCTGTGGTTGAGTCAGGAAGGACATCCCGTGTAAAAACAATTACCAAGTCTTCGTGCGAGCTAATTCTCTGTGGCAACCTCTGAGGAACGGAGCAAGTGGGGAAAAAAAGGGAAAAATACATCTAAATACAAAATTAATAAAGGATAATACATTGGATAGTGATCATGCTTGTATTGTTGTATTGTTTTGTTTTTGTTCTACTAGCACATTCTTAGTTTAGCATATTTCTTAGTTCATATCTTAGATCTTATACTGTTTTTCTTTACAATTTATAGTTTTATTGGATGTACTGGAAACTGGGACCCTGTGTGCACAATTTTGTTCCACCATATGTACCACATGTGGCGTGAGTGCCAAATAAAGAAACTTTGATTTTGATGCTTTTCTCAATAAATAAAAAATGTAAAATCAAAATAATGAAGCAAAAAAAAAAAAAAACT